TGCGAAATCATGTGTCATTCAATTTAAACGACAGACGCCAGCTGCGGTTAGCTGGTTGTCGAGCTAATGCCATAGAAATTAATTATTAAGCGCCAGTGTTTCATTTGCGCTTTTTCCTTTCGCGCTTCACGGTACAGCAAACTTAGTGCGAGTGAAAGGTTTTGCAAGCACTTGGAAATTAATAATTAGAAGCGCTGCACTAGAACACTAGAAGTAGGTAGAAGGTACACCCTATGGAACATCGCACGAGGTGCATTTGCGTATTCGTTAATATTAATTATGTGAGAATATGGTAATTCGTTTCTCCAAGATGCTTCCACTTACCTTTCAGTAATGGCAGACGAGCAAAAGCAAAACATGAAATTCACATCACGTTTGAATTTATTATAAATCAATTAATATACCCACAAATCAACACTTAGTGACTTCATGATTGTTCCGGTATTTATTTGCTTCTAATTAAGCAAAACTCGCCTGTTGGTTTGACACTCACACACCCCGTTCAAATTCAAAAGAAGATTAATACTAATACATCCAGTGGGAGCGTGGAATTCAATTTGGCAGTACAATTACTCATTTTGTGCTCTGGCACCTCTTGCTGGCTTCCGTAAACTGGAAATATTTATGTAGGTACACAACTGCGACGTATATTTACTTATGATTGCAACGTTCGCGCGTCGAATAATTTAAGATGTTTGCTTTCCACGAGGTGAAGTCGAGGCATCCACCAGTACCTCCGCTTATTATTACACATAATGCTTTCACATCAAACATCAGAGAAGGAAAATAATGGAATCAGTTTGCATTGGAAAAAGTAATGCAATTTGATTTTAATTTAACCTGATCGGAAATGCGTTCCAGAAGTTCACAGCCTGCGGATTCGTATCGCAAAAGTTTCCGGTGCAAATAGTTTACTACGTTATTTTCAAAGCTCCTCCATCGTCACTTTTCTGCTGGTCCGGTTTAGCTCGTTTTTAGCTTGTTTCTTACATATATGTAGCAATTTTTGTGTTTATAGGTTTGGTCAATACGCAAGGCAATATTTTCTGAATTTAATTGTGAATTACTACTTCGTTATAATGATACATAATTAGGTTAACTTCCGACAAGATCAAGAGACCTCGCCGAGTGTTTTAAAAATTACTCATTGGGATTAAGGCAGTATCGTTTGCCTTCGGCTCAACCATTTTACGCGAAGGGTTCTCCGTTTTTATGTACCTACTTTTAAATGCGTGTTTCTTTTAAAGCTACATCGAAATAATAAAAATATATTACGCCAACATGGAAATTGCACATCGAGTTTTATTTCGATCAATAAAAAAAAAAAAGAAGATTTCACATTTGATACAAATTGCGTCGGACTTTTCATTAGTTCTGCAATCATTCAGAATTCAGACCTCTGCTATACGCTGGGCTTCTTTGTGTTCGTATAATTTATCTCTAGATGAGAGAAATGAAAAGTGCGATATCGAATGTAAAAAAGTTGCCCCGTTGCTCGTTCGGGGCCAACATTCAATTCGCAGAGGAATTGAACGCAGTACTAGTCTAGACAGGCAAAATATCTTCAAATGTATATACCTGACACGTACCCTTGGCAAATTCTCACGCCCAACTTCTTTCATTCATTGTGCGTAAAACTCGCATTATCTGCTGGAATATCTTAACATGCAAAGCTCGCAGTTGCAGAAGTCGGCTTCAGGCGATCTGGGAGCTTTTGCAATTTGTTTTTCACAATTCATATAGATATATATTGAACAATGGTTGGGTTGGAGGAGCATTTGCTCACGTAGAAGAGCAGAAAGCGTCTTAGAGCGTAGGCTTAAAATTTAGCCGAACAAACGCACAGGCGTTTATTAATTTATCAGAGTCGCGAATCTAGCCTCCGTGCGCCCGAAATCTGATCAACAAACTTTATAGCGTTTAGGCCTTAAACACTTTAACCAAACCTGCATCATAGCGCGGCGGCGGCCGGAAATGAAGGGCCGTTCCAACCCGGCAACGAGGAAAGAGCCGCCGCACGAGAGTGCTAAGTTCTCGCGCACATCCTACGTTATCCTGCTTAAGGACAATCGCACCTGGCCACCGTTTCGCACAAATCACTTTAATTACCCATGATAACGTAAACACATACGTTGTGCGCGCATTTAAATCCGCCCTACAATGCCATCGTGGCAGTGGGAATATTCTACGAATATACTTTACAAATATTTTCGTTGCATTACGTTTGCAAGTTGAACATTTTACGAATAGTTTTCGCGTAGCGTCTAGTTGCCTCAATAGACGCTGCGCGTACAAAAACAAACAATCTACGAAAAGCTTTCATGTTGATGAGTTCATGTAGATGTAACAAAAAGTACTTAGGTTTGCTCACCCTTGGGCTATGAATATTATATCCGCCCGAGGCTGGTAACCTGCAACCCGCCGGCTAGCGCTGACAGCGCATCACGCACACCACAATATATGATGGCAAATCTTTTCATTTCGGCGGATGATAAATTTTCAACTGCGACAAACAGAGTCTTCTCGTGTACAGACCAGCCAACCTTTTAAATATTTGAATTCGTTCTCGGTTTCTATTTGCGACTCCTTCATGGCTAGCGTTGTTATGTGCTATAACCGCAGCGTTTTATTTTTATAGCGTCTTCTTCCGGAGAGCCAGACCAAACTTCGAACTTTCAATTCGAATATGAATTTAGCTTTTTAGAAAATCAAAATGTTATGCACTATTTTATTTTTTTACGAAAAAAGCTAACTTGGATGCTTAGATCGGAATAGTAGAAACTAAGCATAGATTTTGTACAAATGTGATAAATGCAACAAATATCTTGTACTGTGAAATTGCAGCGTTGCAGGTTAAAATGAAATTCTAGTGGGTTTGTGCCATTTTCTGGCCTGTCCTGATTGGGAAACAGTCAGCATTTCCTATTGCAAATCTGGTTTCACGGACTATGCTTCCGCGTATTGAAATCGGAAGTCCGGCCCGAAATGGTTTCGCGTTTCATTTTTATATAATTTGCCGTCCTCATCGCGCCAACACGTAGTTTTCGGCCACACAGCCTCATTTTGGTATGCGACTCGCCGCGACCATCCGGACGCCACCGACCACCCGACAAAACATGAAAATCTACTTAAAACGCAATTAAACTAAAATTATGTCATGCATACTGCGGGAAAAAGTACATTTCATTTAAACTTTTTTGTGCCCGCGTTATGTCGCATCGTTTTAAACATTTCACTTTCAGAAAACGCCATTAAAGTCCACTCAAAACTAGTATTATTTATATATGCACCTAATGCATCTGTGCACAACTATTTAATTTTGTTTGTTTATCCACAGATTGTAAACAATCAGATGCACGAATTAAAACATTTAGATACTCATACAAAATGCTAACTAAATATCACTGCCCGGAAATTAGTGCAGAGGGTCAAAATGGGAAACTAAATGGATAGCGTTAGTTCCTCTTGCCTGCTCCAACGTTCGACCCTCGGCGCCTAATTCTAATTAATTTCGGAATTTTCACCCAGTGACTTATCATATAATTTAATGAAACAATTTAGACGATGTAGCAAATATTATTACTTCATAATTCAGTAAGCTAACGGTCGACATCGAAACTGCAGAATGCTTCGCACAGGTTGAGTGAAAATAATTCGGACTGACAATAAATCGTGCGTAATTGCTTAGAAATCTAACGATTATAAATCTTCTTCCTTTCGTTGTGGGTAACTTCTACCTTGCGAAGACGCTGCATACCTAATTAGAAATGTATCAAATCACAAACCAATTTGTAGGCGCCGAAATTTCGGAAGAGAAACGTAAGACATTGTTTTATATAGTTTATGGTTTTCCATCGTGTGACCAAGCACTCCAGAACGCAAGCAAGAAATAGAAGATTTTAATTAAATACTTTTAATTTTAACTTTTGTTTCTGCGCGCATTATACGTTCGCCTCAATAGAACGCTGGCGTGCTTTATGATTCAAACAGTCGGGGCCCGGTGGCGGCGGCAAAATTGCTATTTGCCACTCCGCCAAAACTCGGCGCCTGCGTTGAATGCCACGCCGGGTCTAAATAATAAGAAGAGAACAATAACAAGCAAGGAGCACTAAAAAGCGTTGCTTCGTGCGCCTGCCGTGTGCAAGCAGATTATTTATATCTCTGCAATTTGTTATTTGCCTTTCAAACGCTTTTCGAGAGAGCTTTGTAATTATACTACCTGAAATTGAACGTAAAATATGATTGCGCAAGCTTCGTTTAACATTGCCTGCAAGCAAAGATTTAATATAACATCGAAAGATGGTCCATCTGCGACAGTAGACTATCGATAATACCAAAACGACAAAAGTAAATATCTTCAGGTTATTTTTATGAAGTTATTTGAATATCAAACGTATTGCTAAATTTAAGAAAAAGCTGAAATACGAATTTCATCGCCATGAAAGAAATTTAATTTATTTTGAAGCCTTGTTTTGCGACATTGTAGGACTATATTTGATTGATATGCTTTTTATCATATTGTAATCACATTGAGAAGTCTAATAACGAATATCAATCATTATACCCATTGTGCAGGCGTTCAATTTCGACGAAATTAAATATAACTTTGAGGATCTCCTCTCATCATCTTGTCGTCGCCGTTTTCTTTCAACCTGCAGACATCGATGGCGTTGGTAACGTTGACGCAGAATGAAACGCGCTGGCGAAAATTAGGTCAGAAGAATGCCTAATAACGATTGCTTCCTACTCGTCGACGCACACTTATAACGAATGCGCAGAATATTGTAATTCATAAGAGCGAAGTTGCCAACTGACATCAAAGTGCCATCTCGAGTGTCGCTACGTTTTGTTTCTTTCAGTTTCATCGCTTCAACAATGCCGAAAAAATCGACAAATCGAATGCATTTACTTAATGAGTTTTTTTTTAAACTTTTACACTATTTGCGTTGTGATGTTTTATTCATGCAACAAATTAATATACTGCGTTAAAACTGTTGCAGGTGGGGTGGAATCGTATATGGACGACGGTGTCGGCCTAAATGGGAACATCAGTACGTACCCGTACTTCGAATTCAACGTACCGAGGAATGTCACCACAGCAGTGGGACAAACTGCTTTCCTGCATTGCCGCGTCGAGCAATTGGGAGACAAGGCGGTGAGTACCAAGTGCATATTCATTCGCCCCAACGACCTCCTTGTAATTAAATCAATACATCAATATTCATTACTTCGTTCACGATCGCTGCCTCCGATAACGGCCATAGTCACTATTTATTTGTTTGTGTGAGTGTGAAGTGTTCCAGCACTTCTTGTTGTCCTTGGCGTTCAATCCTCGCGCTTGTTTCTCGTCGTCGCCTTGAGCTGAACATTAAACTGCAGCAAAGACTGGCAGCTATAGAAATATCTCGATCTTGATCAAAGATTTAATACTCCTTGTCAACGTCGAAAGAGTTTAAGCATTAAAGACATATAGCAAAGCTCTAAAACTTTACGACCTCGGGCAAAAAGGCCAGCAAACGTTTCGTACGTATAAAGAACTTGCGCAATCGCAAACATGTTATTTACTCTCTGACAGAAAGAAAAAAAAAACAACATAAACGAATTTAACGTTTGCCAAATAAACTATACCCAGCTGGATATTTTCTATTTTCAAAACCAAAAGCAAAGTAATTTTTATTCCAGACTTAAGTTAGTGTGGGCAAGAAGAACCTCAATATATCGTAATATATACACCAGTATAAGGTAAGCAAGCATCGTCTACACGCGTTATAACTATAACTAAAATTTCACTCCGGCTGGTCGACCGGTGGCTGTTTTACGACCCGCAAGCCTGTTGGTTTTTCGGCAGGGACCGGGCAGTAAAACGCGCACCTACCATAAAGGTAGCCTGTAATTTTTGTTTTTATGCCCTCCGACCAGCCCACCCATCTATGCATAGCGTTATCTTTTATGAGTACTTCAATTTCGAAAAGACACGAGCACCACATGCACAAACACACACACACAAACACACATTCGTATACAGCGCACCCGGATTGAGGGCATCTAAAGGCGAGAAGGAAGTCGGGCAACCGCGTTTTGTGGCTACGTCGGCGTTCGACGTATTGTGCGGTGACGTTGCGCAGGGAGGCGGCATGTATTGGATGGTGAATATGTACACAACGTACCACCACATTATAATCCGGAATACATTAGGCACACACACACTCGCACCGTGTTTGCCCACCGTATATTGACACCGCTTTATTACCGCGTCCACTAATTGAATATTATATATATTTGCATTAAAATGACTTTAGTAAATCTTTCCTAAGTGGCGATTTATCTGTAATATATTTGGTAATGAATTATATCATTTACGAATTTGCCCGATTAGCATGTGTTTGATGTTGGAGGTCTACTCCGGTACTCATTACATAATTGTGTGCCGGAGTTGCCCTTTTTGGGATTTCTCGACTTTAAACACAACAATCCTAATACTCAGCGGGAACCTTTACCCGACATTTCAAACACCACTAAAATAATGAAACAGTAAAACTCTAGGGTCCGGCGCATGTATGCCAGATGCGAACTGCAGCACAGTCGAAGGATAAATTAAGAAAAACTAGGGTGAAAGGGCAACGCTCATTGGATCCAAAGCAGTGGCAACCCGTCGCGCACGTGGTGTATATATATATAGCGTAAAACTATACGGTATGCCGCCCTCCTTATGTCCGCCACTTCCTTCTACCGGTTTTAGTAGCGGCGGCGGCGAACGGCAGACGAGTGTTTGCTCAGTTCTCCACGGACCTGGTAACCTACAGTCGATTGTATGTACGAGTGCTCGGGCAAACTCCTGGGCAAATTTGTAAATTTTAGAATTCACATCAGTCGAACCTCTCTCATCTCACCCGCACGGCCGGAAAGATGCCTACCCGCCACCTCGGCACTGACGAATTCTCCTAGGGTTTCCACTTTGCTAGATGATGTTTCACACGCTCGCTTATATTTCAACCGCATTCACGATACGGTTACGGCGGGCCCAGCGCATAGATCAAAATTATTCGCCAACAACTACTAGATCTGCAAACAAAGCAAACTGGCTAGCAAGCAAATTAGTGGCCGCATTTAAATATACCCTACATATGTACATAACCTCAACACACTAAGAATATTTTTGTCAACCAAAAAAAAAAACTAATAAAATTCACTAAATGTCCGTAAATGTACTAGGTTTTCTTACTGTGCGCCAAACAAACTCGTGAAAAGCGTTAGCATCTTGCGGAAAATGCAATAAGATGTTTGCCATCGTAATGGCTTTGCCGTCGCCGTTCCGACTGCAGATTCCGCCGGGTTAAAAATACCCACGCTCGCGAAAATCGCGAACTGGAAGCCCCCTTGGAACGAACGCAGAAAGAAAAAACGTCGAACATAAAATGATGAGAGCGCTAGACGTGAAATTGGAAGGCCTCGAGATCTCAAGGTTTCTATTAAAAACCTATCTGAGTACAACGTACATATTCTTCGATCTGTTATATTACGTGACCTGTACTTCTAATAAGATAACCCATCATATAGGCCAGGGACCAAGAAGCACGGAGCAAAGAATTTGTTTGATGATAGATATTGTGGTGGCGGAAACTCTGTTTGTATTACAACCAACGTCATATCTTATCAAATTTTCATTCCAGTACATTGCCTTCTATATTTATTTGTCATCATGAGTCAAAATTTAAAACGGATGTCCTAGTGTTCGCAAAAGATATCACAGAAGTAAAAAGATTTAAGAATACATGACAAGATACAAATACAAAGAAAGTCAGCAAGTCGCATCTACAAAAATTCAATTTTGGAAAAACGTGGCACATCAAACGCAATATGTAGTAGTTTTTTTTTTCTGTGCAGAATTTTACCGTGAGCAAACTAAGTTGTTTTCGCGTTTGTTAAAAAAGTTTTCCAAAGTTTTAGTCAACTTGGAAAAGTATGAGTACATGTTGATTTATTAACATTGCGTCAACGATAACACGCCGTAGAAAAAGCCAACACTACAGACCTAGTTTATCCATTTTTTGTGTTGCGTCGTTCACCCGCGCTTCCGAATGTAGCACTTTCCTTTCTTTCAGCGCTCTCTACTGGTTAAGATATTGGGTGGGCGGTTTTTGTGTGCGCTCGGATTTATTTCTGTCCATCAAAACTTTTTCGCCAACGCATTGCTCTTCAATTTTTGACACATCATAATCTAACGTTTTCGCAGCACTTGGAGTGGCGGTCGGGAAACAAATAAATTGAAGAGATTACGGCTGCACCGCACGCTTGCATATCGCTGGATGCTCACTGGCGAAGATTGCTTTTAATATTTAAGCAGTTCGAAACGAGCAAGGCGTTTTAACAGACTTGACATGTGATGTGTTTGATGTACACTGTGGAAAAATCATCTCTCATGTGTGGAAAACACACACGCGATTATCTGTATCAATCAAATTATTATCAACGTTTAGAATAAAAAGCCGGCGAGCTGTTTGTAATGCTACTGACTCTGGATAAGAATTTTGAATTTTCCGCAGCTTTATTTTTCATCCGCTGCGAAAATATTTGCGCAAACATTTCCAAGATACGTGTGCGCCAAGCCATGCGCAACCTTAAAAGATTTTGCAATTTCCAACAATCTGTTTGGAAAAAACGTGCGTAGCTGAGCGGTTTGACGTGCAGAAAAGCGTACAAAGCAGAAACGATGAGAGAAAAGGTAACACGCGCACTTTTTTCCATGTTGCTTTTGATTAAATCATTCATTCGGAATTAAATTGATTTGCTTTCTCTGTTTACGCCGTTTGCCGTGGGCTGCGCCATTTCATTCCGTTTCATTTCGTATGCGCTGTGTTTTCTTAATAAACGCAAATCGGTAAAAATAGAATCTTGCAGCAGCGGGGCCAAAATGTGTTAGACTGAGCATACTTTCGTTTTGGTCGCGTTTTCTTGGTGAAACCATATTTGTGGTCCTGACAGGTTATCAGCTTCAGACAGCAGAGTCGAGGTTTCGTTGCAGTGGCGCACGTTGGTATGTTTCAACCAGGAAGCATTCGTGAACTGCAAATAGCAGCTCCTGGCCCAACCCGTTTGCTCACGCACGGGTACTTTTTTGCTGGTGTTTTTTTGTAAGCTGAGCGCAGGAAAGCAAGACCAGACCAAATCCACTCTCCTGCTATCATTCGCATTCACATCGTCCTGATAACTATATTACACTGATGCTGCAAACTAGCCGAACGTTTGCTATCCACCACACGACCACAAACATTGAAATTTCATTCCAACATTCCACATCCTGAATTTTCTATCAAGAGGGGACTCTTCTTTAGCTTTCTGTAGCCATTGTTTGTTTTTAACAAGCCCCTTACGCCTGATTCAAGCCGCCGCAACTTTATCAACGCAAAGTTTATGCAGTTGGCGTAATTACGGCCGAAACATTCGTGCAAACAGTTCCTTTATTATTAAATTCCTACTTGGTGGATGACCAGCTGTATTGTGTACAAGTTGACTTCATACTCGTCATGCGATAATTGTTCCAAGCGTCAGCACACCATCGAGCCAGCGTCAAGCAGCTAGACCCTCCAACCGGCGCAGATGATGCGGAAACTATTCCCATCGCAAGGGTTGCGCCCGACTCGCCGCGCAACGAGTTGACACTGACATGCGGGAATGTGGGAATAAACCTACATGTTCTCCTCGACCAAGATACACACATCGGCGCAAAGTTACTCAAGCGAAAAGCTCGTCGGCATGTTTGTTTCGTCAATTCCCACGTCTTATCATACCTGCAACGCGGAACACAAAATTGTTTGTCGGAACTTCTTCATTAAAATATTTTCTAAAGGCAAGTTCTGCGGGAGCAATTGAATTGCTTTCATGGCAACGCTGTCGCCTACGATGCGTCAGAATGAATTGTGAGTAAAACTTGGGCCACGCCAAAAAAGTTATGCGACGTATAACAGTGCATCTGCCGCATGCTCTCTCGTTATCTCAATCTTGTGAAGTTATCGTTCGGCGCGAAACTTGCCACGTGAAACATTTTTGCAACTGGGTTATAAGTATCGAGAGTTTCCGCACGTCCGCGACCGGAAGCAGACAAATACATTTTATTTATTTCAATTATGTTATTTCATAAATAACGACGTCCACGTT